CCTAAACCCTAAACCCTAAAGCTACGGTTGGGACTCGGGTCTGGGGAATTGGGCTTTTCACCCATGCGTTCCTCTCTGTGCAGCTGGGCAAACAACCTTGAAATTTCAACCTGTAAACTCTAGTGGCCCAGACAATGTACCCTTTTAAAGAACTTGACATAGAAACCAAGAAGGCAGGGATTTTGTGCATTCTTGTTTTTTTTTTTACTTCCTGGGATCCCAACTCTCCTCAGAGAGAGAGAGAGAGAGCCACTCGAAACGCAGGAATACAGCTTCTCTTACGCTCTTAATAAAGGATATGTATTCGAAAGATATGGACTTCTCTTCTGAACCGTAGCTCAAGTCCTACAGGTCATTGTAGAAATCAAGAACCGTAGACGAAGAATCCTGAGATTCAGTCACCTTTCGTATATGCTCCTGACAAAAACAACTTGATTACGAACCTCCAAGTTTGAAGCTTGATGAAGACCCTAAGCCCGAATCCGTAAACTCTAGGCCGCACATACTGGCAGCCCTTCAACAAACGGACCTTTGGGACCTCTCCGGGTGCTTGCCGGCAGGCGAGCGAGATCCGGATCAGTTGAACGACAGGCCTGGAAGACGGGACCCGAAGAATTTCAAGACTCGAAGAAAGCGTCTGTACAGCTTAGGTATGTTATGCCCGGCAGGAGCATGTCGGAGCTTTGAGGTGAGAGTCTTCCACCTGACATGTCCGAGAAGAGTATCCAGGGACTTTCTGAATGCTCAAGGTTATTGCACAGCTGTCGCTCGAAGACTCTTGCAGTGTCTCGTTGTTGGCAATGAATGTCACTCGCTACTGTAGTGAGCTACTCTTACAGTGGTGTATTTGGCAGACGCTGTTGTGGGTGATCACTGTTGTGGCCCAGACTCTAGTCGTATCATGGCTTTGAGCATTTTGTTTATTCTTCTTCTCACAAGCGGCTTGTGTTTCTTATCTATTGGTTTCGGCTTATCCCTGTCAGACCACTTCTGCCTTGATCTGAAGCGCAGTTGTACCAAGCATACTTATGATTCCGCTTTTGCCTTCCCATCCCCGAGATACCAGAAAGTTGAAAATTCTGTCTGCCTCTTTGGCACATAGAACCCGTGAACTCTTGAACCATGGTACATGTCCCTTTTAGTCCCTCAATGCCGAAGCCTATTGACTCCCGCAAGGATCTGCGACCCCAACCCCTGATACTGATACCCTCTAGACTCTTGACCCCGCCGCCAGTGGCGCCGTGGCAGTGATCCGCAGCTCGTCGGGGGCCTGCCGCAGGCCCCAAACCGTGGCCATTGGCGGACACCGCTGAGCTTCATAGGGTTCTGAGTGGTTTTCCGCGCGGCCTGGGTTTCAGAGCCCCTGAAATCGACAGCAACTTAAGATTCTGCGGGCCGGCCGTCTAGAACTTCGAAGCTGCCTAAACCCTAAATTCTAAACCCCCAAACCCTAAACTCCAAAACCCTAAACTCCAAAACCAAACCCCGACGCCCTAAACCCTAAACCCGGAACCCGAAGCCCCGAACCCGAAGCCTTGAACTGTAAACCACAGCCCAGATGCAGGGCAGCTACAATGGTTTCAAGATGGCCGTCGCCGTCATCGTCTTCCACTTCGGTGTCAAGATGCTGGCGCCCTCCCTTTTAGAAGGTTTGTGAGGTATTCTCGTATGTCATAGTTTGATCGGGCTGTGTCATATGGGGT